AAGCCCAGAGGCTCTCAAGAGGGCCCCAAGTCGGCCCAAGAAGGACCCAAGACGGCCCGGGAGGCCCCCAAGACAGCCCAAGCGGGCCCCAGGACGGGCCCAAGAAGCGCCCAAGAGGGCTCCATGACGGCCCCAGAAGGGCCCAAGACGGCCCAAGAGGCGCCCAGGAGGCACCAGAATGGCCCTAGGAGTCCCCAAGAAACCTCGAGAGGCTCCAAGTGGCCCTGAAGAGGCCCCCCAAGGCGCCCCAAAGCGCTCCCGAAGGATCTAAAAAATACCTCCTACACACCCCCAGGAGGCCTCCAGGATGCCTCCTGCATCTCCCCGAGAAGCCCAAAAGGCCCCCAAGAGGCTTAACAATCACCTACAAGACGCACCCCCAGGAGGCCTCGAAGATGCGTCGTAGAGGCCCCTCAGGAAGCCCACGCAATGCCTCCAAGCTGTTTCCAAACCACTTACGTTTGAACAAGCGCGCTGGGGCGAAACCGACCTTCTGACAGCGGGATCGTCCCGGATCGGCGGCACCGGTCGGAGGCCTCTACAATATATATATATATATATATATATATACGCACACAAGATGTTAAGCATCGCTGCGCTTCGCCTTCTGATCTTGATCCTTGCACCTACATGTTTGATGGACAGTGCGGTTGACATATTGATGTAGCCGCAGCGCTGCTACAACACACTCTCGAACCTGACGTTAGGGAGGCTAACCTGGCGCAGCCCCGATTGGCAACAGACCCGACGCGTCCCGTCCAAACCGACCGCCAGGCACTCGCCCAGCACCTGAGCAAGGGACGGCAGCTGCGGTCGAGGAGGCATCGGAGGAAGACAACGAACTACAGGAGGAGGACGAGGAGCAGGAGGAGGACGAGCAGGAGGAAGCCTTGGCGTAGGCCCGTGGTGGGGTCTTCTTGGAGCGTCTGGGAGTCTCGTGGGTGCCTGTGGGGAGCTGGTGACAGCAGTGTAGGGTCTGGGGTATGTTTTAGGTCATCTCGAGATTTCTGTGGGTTCCTGAGGCGAAAGGAAAGCTGCGCATCAAAGTGTTGTTCCCCGGACCCTGGCTGCCTATCGTGGGCCCTCTTTGGGGCCCCCCTTGGTCTGTCTTGGGACCCTTGGGTCTCTGGGGAGCTAGTGATAACAGTCCCTGGTCTGGGGCCTTTCAGAAGGCAGCGGAGGAGGAAGACAACGAACTACAGGATGAGTAAGAGGAGCAGGAGGAGGAAGAGCAGGAGGAGGAGGAGGAGGAGGAGGAGGAGGAGAAGGGGGCGGAGAAGGAGGAGCAGGGGGAGAAGGGGAGAAGGGAGGGGAGAGGGGGAGCAGAGAGAGGAGAAGCATGAGCAAGAGAGGAGGAGGAGGAGGAGGAGGAGGATAATAGGAGGAGAGGAGGGTGAGGAAGAGGAGGAGGAGGGGGAGGAGGAGGAGAAGGAGGAGGAGGGGGAGGGAGGAGAAGGAGGAGGAGAAACAGATGAGGAGGAGGAGGAGGAGGAGGAGGAGGAGGAGGAGGAGGAGGAGAGGGAGGACGGGAGGAGATTTCCAAAGAGAGTTGGTGTTGAGAGTGACATTGGAACCATCTTGGACTTTCTTGGGGATCTCTTCAGAGACTCGTGACAAGAGAGGTGATGAAGCTGAAACAGTGCGAAGTTAATGAAGTTGGCCTCTGTAGGCCTGATTGGGGATCGACTTGGGGCCCTTTTCTGGTCATCTAGGCGCCTTCTTGGGCTGTCTTGGAGCCCTCTAGGGCCGTTTTCGGACGACGACGACGACGACGACGACGACGACGACGACGACGACGACGACGGCGGCGGCGACGACGACGACGACGACGACGACGACGACGACGAACGCACTCGGCAACGACAACTGGCCATCTGGGGTCGTTTTGGAGCCATCTTGAGAGGCCTTGGAGCGCGCTTGAAGCTGTCCTGGAGGCGTCCGGGGCTCCCCATGGGAGCATCTGGACAATTCGTTCGGAGCTCGTGGCAGGTCTCTTGGGGACCTCCTGGAAGCATGTCCGAAGCCTCTTGGGGCCTGGTTCGGTGCCTGTTGGGGGCCGTTTGGGGGGCTGCTGGGGACCGCTCGGGGGCCTCTTGGGAGTCTCGTGGGGGCCTCTGGAAGCCTCTTGGTGACCTCCAGGGCCTTTCTTGGGGCCTCCTGGGGGCCTCTTGATGCCGAGAGCCCGGAAACATCGGATCCCCCGTCTGGGCTCTCTCTTAGAGCCGTCTTGGGGCCCTTTTGGGCCGTTTTGGATGCCTCTTGGGCTGTCTAGGGCGCGTTTGGGCCGTCTTGAGGGGCCGTTTCGGGGATTTCGTGGGCGGTCTTGGGGCGATCTTGGGGGCCTCTTGGGCTGTCTTGGAGCGTCGGAAAGACGAAAAGGCGAGACCCATAGAGACCTTCCAGACCTAAAACAAAACCAACCATTTTGCCTCTCGGGGGCCTCTTGGGGAAGCCTCTCGGACGCCTCTTGGGGCGTTTGGATGCGTCTTGGGCCGTATTGGGACTATCTTGGGCGTCGTGGAGCGATCTTTGTGCGTCTCGTGGCTCTCTTGAGGATCACCGCACTCATTTTGGCACATCCCTCACACGATTCGTGGCCCTCTAGGGGGCCCCACCGAATGCCCAGATGCCAGCGCTCGCATGCGCCGACCGCACCCCTTTTGGCATGCACCTCAGACGTTGCGTGGCCCCGGAGGAAGCCCCACCGAAGGCCCAGATGCCAGCGCTCGCATGCGCTCACCGCATCCATTTTGGCACACGGCCACATAGGAAACTCCACCGAAGGCCCAGATGCGAGCGCTCGCATGCGCCCATCGCACCCATGTTGGCACATCCCTCACACGCTTCGTGGCCCCATAGGGAGCTCCACCGAAGCCCAGATGATAGCGCTCGCACGCGCCCACCACACAAATTGTGGCACACGCCTCGTACGCCTCGTGGCCCATAAGGAACTCCACACAGGGCCCATATGCCACCCGCACACCTTGGCACACCCCTCGCACGTTTCGTGGCCCCATCGAGAGTTCCGCCGAAAGCCCGGGTGCCAACGCTCGCATGCGCCACCCGCACCCATTTCGACACACTCCTCACACGTTTCGTGGCCCCACAGGGAGCTCCACCGAAGGCCCGAAGGCCAGCGCTCGCGCGCGCCCACCGCACCAATTTTGGAACACCCCTCACACGTCTCGTGTCCCCATAGGGGGGCTCCACCGAAGGCCCAGGTGCGAGCGCTCGCACGCGCCCACCGCACCCATTTCGGCTCACTCCTCTCACGTTTCGTGGCCCCGTAGAGAGCTCCACCGAAAGCGGTGCATACAACGACGGTGCCCACAACTGCACATGGTTGGGTCCTTCGCCAGGCTAACGTTTATATATGCGATTCGTATGGCATGTGCTCAATGCTTGTGATACGTCAGGCTATCTGGTATGCTGTATACTGAGTCGTTTATCAGGTTATTGGTCAGGTTGTCTTAGGTACGTTCGGTTATGTGTTATTGTTAGGTCCACTCTTTTTTAGTTAGGTTGTGACAAAGGACAATCGTTCAGTTGCTTGTTAGGTGACGGATCAAATCAGTATTCAATTGGTCCTGCCCGTTCGGCAAAAGTTGCCGAATTCGGCAAGTTCAATCGATCGGTTATTTCCCAACCGTCCTGTGGTGGTGGGTCCTCGTTGTGAAGAGACAGCGCCCCGCGTTCTCACTCCTCCCGCTGCTCCCTCCCTCCTCCCCCTCCTCCCTCCTCCCTAGCGCCCAGTACAGCGTTTCGTGGCCCCAGAGGGAGCTCCACGAAGGTCTCAGTGGCGCAGTTCGAGTGCGGTTTCCCCACCAAGTACAGCGTTTCGTGGCCTCAGAGGGAGCTCCACCGAATGTCCCAGTGGCGCAGTTCGCATGCGGTTCCCCCGCCCAGTACAACGCTTCGTGGCCCCAAACGGAGCTCACCGAAGGTCCCAGTGGCGCAGTTCGCATGCGGTTCCCCCACCCAGTACAGCGATTCGCGGCTCCACATGGAGCTCCACCGAAGGTCCCAGTGGCGCAGTTCGCATGCGGTTCCCCCGCCCAGTACAGCGCTTCGTGGCCCCAGAAGGAGCTCCTTCGAAGGACAATGTGGCGCAGTTCCATGCGGCTCCCCCACCCACTACAGCGCTTCGTGGCCCCATAGGGAGCTCCACCGAAGGTCCCGGTGGCGCAGTTCGCATGCGTTTCCCCTACCAAGTACAGCGTTTCGTGGCCCCAGACGGAACTTCACCGAAATTCCAATGGCGCAATTTGCATGCGATTCTCCTGCCGGGTACAGCGTTTCGTGGCCCCAGAGGGAGCTCCACCGAAGGTCCCAGTGGCGCAGTTCGCATGCGGTTCCCCCACCAAGTACAGCGTTTCGTGGCCCCAGACGGAGCTTCACCGAAATCCCAATGGCGCAGTTCGCATGCGGTTCCCCCACGAAGTACAGCGCTTCGTGGCCCCAGAGGGAGCTCCACGGAAGACGATATTCACAACTGTGGTCGTCACAACTGCATATGGTTGGGTTCTTCGCCACGGTGTTTCAAAGGAACTGAATATTCTGGATCATCCGTTGCCGAAAACGTCCGGTAACGCTCTGGATGAACCCGTCGCCACCAAACGTCGGCCTACGGTAGCGAATTCCGGTAACAAGCGAAACGTCGGCAGCCTCGAAACCCTCGCTTGGACCTCGACACGCCGTCTTCTCGATGCCGACATCTGACTCCTTCCGGTCGCGACCGGCAGTTGGCACGACCAGACAAGCCCGTCACACAGCATAATTAACCGGTCGCGGATGATCTAGGGCTCCCAACTTCGCGCTTCGCGCTCCGCGAAGCGCGAGGCGCGAATAACTTCGCGCTCTCGCGCCGCCCCCCCAGAGGGAGAAGAGGAGGACGAGGAGGAAGGGGAGAAGCAACGAGGACCGCGAAGCGCGAATAACTTCGCGCCCTCGTGGGAGCCCTTGATGATCTGGGGATGCCTGGGGCCGGGCGCGGGCGCGGCCTCCCGGCCGAAACACTTTTTGCTTGCCCGAGCCGCAGCCGAGATGCTGGCTCCGCCCCTCGAACGCGAGGTTCAGCGAGACGCTGCACGCACCCAGCAGGCTCGCGGGGCAGCCGGGCAGCTTGAGCCCGAGCAGGTCCTGGGAGCGGACCAGGCGGAGCGGCCCCCCCGGCGGGAGGGGCTGGGAGGATAGAGTGCAACTTCGGAGAACCTTGCCTGGATCCCGCGTTCTGGCTACTCGCGGCATTATGCGACGCCCAAAGTACTTGCAGATTCCCAAGATTTTGCCTGCGGACCCCGTTTCTCCATGATTCGGGGCAACGCCCGTGACTGGCCCCGGCCCCCGGCCCCGGCCCGTCGCCCCTCGGGTCACGTCGCGAATGGCAGCCGGCGGTAGGGCCTACCCGAACGGGCCCCGGCGGAGCCGGAGGGAAGGAAGACGATTCCAGGGGTCCTGCCCGAGTTCCGTTTCTTATGATCGCGGCGACGCCCGTGACCGGACCAGCACTCCCCCCTCCCCCCCCCACTCCCCACTGGTCACGTCAGGATTCGCGCTGGCGCCGTGAAAATCAGCCATTCTGGTCTAGGCATTCCCAGACGGCGCTGGCGCGAATCGTGACGTGACTGGCCCCCTCCCAGCCCCCTCCCCCGCTGCCCCGTCACGCGCGTGACTGCTTAGAGACTAACAAGCTGCATCCTGTTCTATAATTGGCGCTCTCTCCTGACTGGTTCGAACCAAATCAGGAATCGTTCATGAGGAATCCCTACACAGAAATCCCGAATAAGCAGTCCTGCGTGAGAACTCATTCATAATAAAATCCTTGCTGAAGAATCGTTGACAAAGAATCCTTAGCAATGACTCCTTACGAAAGAACCCTTGTCCTTAATCAGGACTTCTCAGCAAAGAATACTCAATATGGGACTGTCAATACGGAATCCTCAACAAGGCAATTCACTTTGGAATTTCTCGTAAGGAATCATGATGGATGAGCCCCCTACTGGGTAGGTCGCAGTATAGATTCCTCAGCAAGGAGCCCGTCATAGGGAACCCATCACAAGGTTTCCTCAATAAGAGAGCATTACTCACAAATTCATGATGAGAGTTCGTCAGTGAAGAATCCGTGGAATACGTTGCTTATGACACCCTGACTCAAAACTCCTCAGAAAGGAATAAGTAGGAACATGTTGTCTACACATAGTGCTAAATAGCAGAACTTGCGCATACAATCATCATGATAAGCCCTCGATGAAGAATCCTGGGTACCAGATCTTGTCATGGGAACATATATCCTTAGTTTACACATTCTCGGAAAAGACTCCTTCACAAGGAATCCGTCACAAGGAATCCTCGTCAGAACTCCTTACTCAGGGTCCTTGCGCGAGGGGCGCCTTACGACAAAAATCCTCGGCCAGGGGCCCTGAATAAGTAATCCTAAACACGGATGAAATTGGTCAGATCTTCTCTGCACAAGAAAACCCTGAGTAAAGAGTACTCAGCCCGGGTATCCTTAGTAAGGAAGCGAACGAACTATTCCAAATAAGGGATCGTCGATGGTGAATCATTCGCAATATATGACTAATGAGTAACACTGAATCAAGAGCTCTCAGAGGGAAACACTTTAGCCTGGCGATGGACCCAACGATATGCAGCTGCGACTATTTGCGTTGTGGGTACTGTTTTCGGTGGAGGAGGTCCCTACGGGGCCACGAGGATCGTGGCCCCAGCGGGAGCTCCGCCGAAGTCCCCAGCGGCAACGCCCATTTCGGCACACCCCTCACGATGATCCTGGCTCCAATGGGCGCTCCTCCGAAAGAATACGAGCAATCATGGGAATGAGGGAACCCTGGGAATCCTGGAAACCTCAGGGAACCCTAGCAACCCTTAAGGAATCCGAGGAATCCCTGAGAATCCGGGCAATCCCTAGAAAACCAGTGAAATCTGAGAATCCAGAGGGGATCCTACGAATCTTTTTGAAATTCTTGGCAATCCCTACGGGATCGGGGGAAAACTTGGAAATCCGCGTCGCTGATCCCATGCGCCCTGTATGGGATCCCACACAGATCCCATACGGCCTGGTAGGGCTGGGTTCGGCTCCGGTTGGATTCATGTAGGGTTGGAAACACTCCCCCCCTGGACGGGGCGTAGCCCACACCCAAGGGGGGGGGCCGAAGGCCGTTCAGGAGGGGGGGGTGCTGGGTTGCTGGGGGGGGATGGGCGACCTTCAAACCCGCCTTGTTCAACAAGAACAATAGCACCAACAACAACAACGACAACATTGACTTCATCAACAATACCAGTCAGTCTAAGACAATGCGGTTGTACCTGCTCGCGACCCGCTCAACACGTATATCCCATACCCTCGATACCCGCCTTCCTCGGCTTCGATCGTACCCCCCATCAGGGGTACATGCTTCTTACCTGCAACTTGTATTTCGTGCAGTCCCTGAAGCAGGGGAATAGAGGACGGATGGAAGGAAGGGACAAGGGGCAGGCGGGTTGATGAAGCGCGCGTCCTGCGTGAGTCGCGAAGAAATATCGAGCGATAGAGCGATTCCCAACTAATATTGAGGAAATCCACAGCGAGAACTTTGTCGAGGGCACGGCGACTGAATAAATTGCAAACGTGTTCCACGCGAGAACGCGATCCCTGTATACATTGTGAGGATGTCCCGCGCGCGAGCGCGATTTTTGAGTAAATTGTTGGGGAAATATCCGGCGGGAACCGTTGTTGTTGTTGTTGTTGCTGTTGAATTCTCATTTCTGAAAAAGAATTATTCTTGATCCCCGCCCACCGATGCATACTAATTTTTCTCTATCAAAGTGTACTCCTCGACGCTCGCACCTTTTTTTGTTGACAGGGAAAGTCTTCTTGCTCAAACTGGGCCCCTGGCCCCCAGGTTACAACAACAACAACAACGGCTCCCGCTTGAGACTTCCTTGCAATTTAGCCAGGACCCCGCTCCCGCCCGAGACCTCCTCGCATTTTATTCAGGAATCGCGCTCTCGCTTGGGACTTCCTTACAATTTATTCAGGAATCGCTTTCCCGGCGCTCTGGAGTCGCGCTCTCGTTGGAGACTTGCTTGCAACTTACTGAATGGCCTTGCGTTGGAATTTCCTGCAATTTGCCCAAGAGCCGCGCTCCCGACACCCAGGCACCCAGGAGTCGCGCCCGTTGTGGCCCCATGTGCATGCCCTTCGTGGCCCCGCTGTCGCCATTTGTGTCCCCCTCAATGTCCTGCGTGGCCCAGCTGCTACCCTCAGTGACCCCATAGTTGCCTTCTGTATGTAGCCCCGCATTATCTGCACTTCGTGGCCCCCGCTCGTTCGCGCTCTTCGTGGCCCCATACGCATTCCCTTCGTGTCCCCGCTGTCGCCCTTCGTGGCCTACTTCGTGCCCTTCGTGGCCCTGCTGTCGTTCTCTCTCGCTCTCGCTTTCGCTCGTCGTCGCCGTCGTCGTCGTTGCCGTCGTCTTCGACGTCGTCGTCGTCGTCGTCGTCGTCGTCGTCGTCGTGGTCGGTCCCCTGTCCGTCCCTCTTGGGGTCGGGGCGACGGTCCGCGGCCGCCCCGCCGATCAGCGCTGCCGCTGGCCAGGCCGACGGTCCGTGGCCGCCCCGCCGCTTGCCGGGGCGCCTGCAGGGAAGAACGGTATACCCCCCAAAAGGGATTCGATCTAAGACGAAGAGGGCGGGTATCGAGGGTTTGGGAGATACGCGTTATTGGACACTCGAGCATATAAGGGCGAACAGTCTTAACAATTATTGTTGTTGTACGCCGGGGGCCAGGGGCATTTTTTGGTGTTGTAAACAAAGGCGTGCGAGCCCCAGGAGAAACATTTTAATCAAACAATGGAATGGATCCCAGGCAGGTAGGATCAGCAACAATTACCTCTTAGAAATGGCATCTCAACAAGAACAAGAGCTATACAAAGGACAGCACAAATAATCACATTAGCAAAGTCAAGAGCAAGGACAATAACAGCAGCAACACCAACAAACAGCAACGCCACCACCAACAACAACATCAACAACAACAACAACAACAGCAACACCAATAACAACAAAAGCCATCATAATTTAACACTGTTCGCTCCTATGCGCTCGCATGTAATTCGACACTTTTATACCAAACTCTCGGTACCCGCCCTCTTCGTCTTCGATCATGCCTCCTTTGGGGTATACCTTCCTTACCTGTCACGTGTATTTAACGCAGCCTCTAAAACATGAGGAAGGAGGACGGATGGAATGGGAAGAGAGAAAGAAGGACCGCGAGAGAGTTTAGCGGGAAGGGGGCCAGGAACAGAAAACATGTGGTAGAACCAGGCGGGCAGATCGGGCGGAAAAACCCTAACGGCCAGGTCAGGAAGGCGAGCCAAGGCGGCCAGGTCGAGCAGGCGGGTTGCTGGTTGCTGAAGCATGAGTCCAGCATGGATCGCGAGGATATCGCGAGCGATATCTCAAGCGATAGCGCGATTCCCAGGTAACTCGTGAGAAAGGCCAAAGCGAGAGCGTGACTCCTGAGTGTCGAGGGCGCGGCGGCTGAGTTAGTTACGAAGAAGTCCCACGCGAGAGCCCGATTCCTGCATCAATTGTGCGGAAGTCCCGCGAGAGAGCGCGATTTTGGAATAACGTGCGAGGAAGTGCAGTATCAAGCGGGAACCGTTGTGGTTGTAGCCGGGGTGCCAACAACCCAGATTGAGCAAAAAGACGTTCCTTGATAAAACAACATGGTGCGAGCCCCGAGGGGGGCACTTCATTTGAAAACACAGTGTAAGCTGGTGAGGGGGATCATCAATAACTTTCTTCAAAAATGAGAATTCAACAACGACGCAACAACAATCCGCAACGCGGAACCCCATTTCAGCCACGCACCCGTGGGACAATGTATGACCGTTCGCCCTCCTCACACTGATATCGTTTCCCGAGCGGTCTGGCCAGAAAGTACCCGCAACGGAAAATTCCCAAATCAGTGCTTGCACTGAAGGGGTCCTCTCGGATGTTGAAAGACTTGGCGAACATTTCCCGCCAATTTTGGTTGCTGGCTGGGTTCCCGGGTTCCCGGTTATGGGTCCCCGGGTTCCCGATTCCGGATTCCGGGCCGATTTCGGAGGGCGGCGAGGTTCCCGTGTTCCCAGGTTCCTGGTCGATCTTCTTATCGATCGGTCTCACCATCGATCTCATTACCCACTTCTCTATCGATCTCTCCATCGATCTCACAATCGATCTCACCATCGATCAAACAAGCGATCTCACTAGTGATCGCATGAGCGATTTCGCGATCGACCTCACTATCGATCTCATTGAATCGATGTCACTCTCGGTCTCACGATCGACCTCACCATCGCCCTCACTATCGATTCCACTATCGATCTAATTATCGATGATACAATCGATCTCTGGGTTTTCTCAGGAATAATATGCTAGATTTCTCGGCGCGTGCGTCGCCCGTGTGGGGGCGACGCATTCACGTGGTATTGATAAGTTTGGGTGGCACCGAGGGTGGAGGCAGAAGGAGACAGGGAGGGAGGGGAACGGGAGACAGGCAACTCCTGGGAGTTCTTCGTCAAAACAATGGAGTGCTATGAAGCCCGTTTAAGGGGCCACAGAACGGGATGAGGCCGGATTGATCACTGGATTAAGCCAGATCAAACAGGATACAATGGGATTAAAGCCAGATTGCGCTCCTTTTCGACCCAGGCTCTACCAGCGCCGACTCTGAACATTTGAACCTCCCACCCAGGAGTTGCATCCCAAGGGAGGGGAAAGGGGGACGGCAAATGGGTGTCTCTACATCTCATCGCAAGAGGGGCGAGGACGGGAAGACGAGAGGTGAACAGGTGGAGGGAGAAGGGGAGGGAGTGAGGGAGGGAAGGAGGGAAAGAAGGCCGCCACCGTGCATGAAAAGACGCCGTGCTTCGTATACGTATAGTAACATAAAAAAAGGGGATCGGTCGAGCCCCCTCCAAAAGATACCAAGCATATTGGGAAGCTGCAGCAAAACACAACAAGAACCACCGAGCCCGTTCCGAGCCCCAAGGGGGCACCCAAAATATTTCACTGCATCGCCCGCCATGCCACTGGCACAAATGCTCTCAGAAAGCTCCCTGGGCAAGGCTGGAAGCAGTCCTCAAAAACAGATACAGCAAAACAAACCATCCGCATTCCCTGCACCACGACCTGCAATGGAACGGAATAAGCGGGCACGATTGCCGACAGCAGATGGACATATAGCGGCAGCTGTTGAGCAGGAGAGGACACTTGCCCCAAATGATTAACGTCCGCGGCGACACCGACGGAAATGCAGACAGAAACTGTTTTTCGTCGTCGTCCCTAATATTCAAGTCCCCGTGTCGGCCCTCTCCAAATTCTGTGGCAACTCATGGGAGCCTCCCGTGTCATCTTCCTGGCTCTCGCCGACGCTGACCGATGCTAACCGACGCTGAAAGACGCAAAACCAACGGACATTCGACGTCGCACGTCGTTCGTCGTGTGGGCCCCACAGGGATCTCGCCCCCCCCCCCACCCCTGCGCCGTCGCTCATCCAGAATAGTTGCTGTAAATGGAGGCCTCCCAAGTGGGGTCTGAGTAGATGGGGTGGGAGGATCGCGCAGCATCGCCGATCGCCGATTCATCGACGTTGCGGAGCGGGCCTCCGACCCCATCTACTCGGACCCCATCCAAAAAGAAAACAAATGATCCTGGGACTGGGAAACGGCATCCAGAGGCGAAGACCACTTCAAACAAGAAACATCATCCGTCGACCATGGGGGCGCGATTTTGCACCGCGAAGCGGAGATTGTGTACAAAAGTGGCATCCCCTGGGGACAGGATGTTTGTACACCACCCCCGCAAACAAGCTGGTCCAGCACAAGGTACGTGGGAAGGGGCGAAGGCCATAAATTGGCCCCCGAGCCCAGATCTGCAAGATCCTTCCACCTCCTGAAAAATCGGGGCCGGTCACCTCCGCCGTGAGGGTTTCCGCCCCCAGAGCTGGCTGGGGTCCGGGTGCAGCTGCCGCTGCCCCTCGTGCCACGCCCGCCGCAGCGCCGCGCAGTTCGCGGCCGCACCCAGCGCACGCAGCTCCGCCCCCGGGGGGGGAGGGGGCAGCCCCCGCGGACAGGGTGACGGGAGGAGACAGTTATGGTTTCGAGGCCCGACGCTGCAAACAGAAAAAGTCGACATCGTGCAGCATCACAGCCGTAAGAACCTGGACCCCATCGTACTGCAGAGGTTCACGAGCCGGCTCGGTCTATCAGGGCCCCAGGCCAGAATCCAGGTGAAAACGCCGTGCATGACACACTGCAACGCCCTGATGGTAGGAGACCTCCCACTCATACGCATACACCGATCCTGCCCGGGCTGATCCTGGGCCTGGGATCGGTGCCGACGCCCTCCCAGCCTGGCTGGTGGAGCGTTTGTGCGCGACGTTACGAAGTGGTCGAGACCCTTGGGATCCGCAAATTGAAACACATCCATCGGAGGTCTGGATCGGAAGCCGCCCAAATGAGGCCGAGGCATATGTGGCCAGAGGACCACAACGCATCGGCGATGCACCATCGATACATCGGAGACGTCGGGATGAGGAAAATCGGTCGTCGATGCATTTGCGATGCTGCGCAATCCTCCGACCCCATATGCTCCTGCCCAAGTTGGGTGGGCGGGACGAACGACGCCCCTTAGAACGGAAACGCAAGATCGTATCCAGCCACGTTGTTGCATCATCCCTCGCTGAAGGCACATCACACACAATGGAACCTGAAAGATCCTACTGGACAGCCTCAAGATCGGTGGAGATGGTCGAGAACGTTTCCGCGTTGGCAACATCTCACTGGGAGTTTCGCACGGTTCCAGAACACCCCAATAAGGGGAATACCAACAACTGCCGATACCGCTGCTCCCAGGACCTCTCCCTGGGCGCGTTCTGACCAGGGTCGCGAGGCGAATCCTGCGATGGCGACGAATGATGCCCAAAAAACATAAAACAAGGGGACGGGTGGCGGTATCGGTACCTTTTCCTCCTCTGACCAGCTGAGGACTCGGGGATGCGCTGGTCCGCTAGAGGCCCCCCCGTCTCCCCCCCGGGCCTGCCCGAGTGGAACACCAGTCGCGAACCTCTGGCCGGGCCCGGGGGCCACCCGCAGGAGCTTCGGACAGACGTCGATGGGGGAGGAGGAGGAGGAGGAGGAGGAGGAGGAGGAGGAGGAGGAGGGAGAGGAGAGGAGAGGAGAGGAGAGGAGAGGAGAGGAGAGGAGAGGAGGAGGAGAGGAGAGGGAGGGAGGAGGAGGAGGAGGAGGAGGAGGAGGAGGAGGAGGAGGAGGAGGAGGAGGAGGAGGGGGATTTTTTTTTGGCGGTGCCGCCGCCAGCCTGCCCGCGCATCGGCCGCGCGGAGCCTTCGCGCGCGGCCGCGCGGCGCGGCCGCGGCGCCCCGCCCGCGCGGGCGACGGGCGAGACCGCCCGCGCGGGACGGAGAAAAGGCCCCGCCCCACGGGCAGGCGGGAGGCTCCAACCGAACGGAGCCGCCCCAACGTAGGGGGGAACCGAACGGGCAGGGCCACCCGCACGCCCAAGGGGCAGGGCAAAAAAAGGGCCCGGACCCCGGGACCCACGAAACGACGACGACGACGACGACGACAACGACAACGACACGACACGACGGGGAGAAGGACCGCGAGTCCCGCCCCAAGGCGGCGAATGCGGGGAGTGAGCTACGGCACCGCCCTGGTGGAGGCCACGGGGCCTGGCAGCCCCCCGGGAAGGAAAGCCCGGGTGCAGGGGCTAGGGCACCGAAGGCCCGGTGCTCCCCGCCTGCACCAGGGGGCACTTTGGCCCGACACCCCGCTTATGGGGGTGCCTCTCCAGGGCAGGAAGAGGAGGAGGAGGAGGAGGAGGAGGAGGAGGAGGAGGAGGCGAAGGAGGAGGAGGAGGAGGAGGAGGAGGAGGGGGAGGAGGAGGAGGAGGCGGAGGAGGAGGAGGAGAGGGAGGAAGAGGAGAAGGAGGAGGAGGAGGAGGAGGAGAAGGAGAAGGAGAAGGAGGCGGAGGAGGAGGAAACGTTGAAGAAAGAGGAGGACGAGAAGGAGAAGGAGAAGGAGGAGGAGAAGGAGGAGGAAGAGGTGAATGAAGAGGAGGAGGAGGCGGGGGAGGTGGAGGGGGAGGAGGCTCATAAGATGGTGCCATGGCGCGGCGCCTCTCTCCTGCCCTGCTGTCAACGCGCCTCCGCGAGGGAAGGCACCAGTGAGTCCAGTCATGCTGTTTCTAGGTTCCAAGCAGAGAGGGGGTCTTTCGTAACGGGGTCACCAGAAAAATGAACTGGTTAATACTGTGGCGAATGTGGCGCGTGGCAACTACGTGCTGACATTGTACGACATGCGTATCTGGCACGAAAGAGTGCAGTAAACTATCACGTTAATGTTTAAGACTCCCTTTGCGCAGAACCCATCATTCGCCCGGATCCCAGTTCAGCGCCCTCTGTGGGAGGAAGAGGAAGAAGAGGAGAGACAAGGAACGACCACGGCATCGACGCCTGTACGGGGTTCGGGGTGGTGGTGAGGTCGGAGCGCCATTGCGCGGGGCATCCTGCACAACTGCATCCAGCAAGCCCGCCAATCCTGCACCCCCAAGGTGGTATGGTGCATGCCCAACTCCTTCTCCCTGTCCTGCTCCTCCAGTCCTCCTCCTCCTCCTCCTTCACCTCCTCACGAGCGAGGCCGACACACAGACGCCGCGCCGATAAGAGAAACCAGACACTCTGGCGTCATCGCTGCACCCGATGAGGAGCTGTCTGCGTGGTATAGGGAGCCCGCGCGCGTCGCCAAACTCCCCCGAGTATCCCCGAGATTCCAAAGGCTCTGAGCGGGGCCCGAGCCTCTCGGCGGGTCCGAGGGACCTCCGCGGTTAGGGTATCATGCGGGACCTGCCGACCTTGTACTGCGCCGAGTACAACAGGCGCGTTGCCTATAGACGTGTACACCCTGTATGTGAAAATCTACGGAACGGCATCCACTGCGTCTATACACGCTTGTGGCTAAACATTGAGACTGGTTCTTGGCATAGGCCGCAAGTATCGGCCTTCTAGACTCGGGCCGGGCGAAAGGGTGGATAGCAAAGGGGGGGTTGAGAATCAGCTCCCGTAGCTGATTTTCCCGGCGCCTCCCGGCGCCGGAAGTGGCTATGTATCGAGGAATGGGCCCCTCGGTGGGGCCGAAACCAGCTGCATGCAGCAGATTTCGTAACCCCCCCTTTCCCAATCCCCCCCTTTCGTCCGGCTCGATAGAAGCAGGTAGACTTTGCCCTCCAACTCCGCGGGAAGCAGCGCAGTAAACTCAGCCGATATCCAAGAGGCTAGCCCGTGGGTGCCACCCTCCAGACTCGCACAAAGCTCGGCCGCTCCTCCTCCCGTCTCCTCCTCCAGAAACACGGCCGGCGAGCAATGGGAAAGGAGGCCCCAGGAGGAGCGAGAAGAAACATGATAAGTATAACAAGCAGGAGGGGGGAATCAGGAGGGGGGGAATCCAGAATCAGAAGGAGACGATAAGAAAAAGACAAGGACGAAAGAGGCCAGACCATTCCGCACGAGCCCGCCACCTGCACGGCCGACGTGAACGGACACCGCCGCCTGACCAGGGGCCTCAATGCGCTCTTCAGCGCCTCCACGACGGGGCCGTCGCCGCTGCTGGGCTCCACCAGCACCGCCAGCTCCGCGAGCCCGTCTGCGAGCCAGGCGAAATCTGGGGCGGCGCGGGCGGCCGAGTCGCGCGCGCCCGCGAGCCAGACGCGCGCCGCCAGGGACGCGTCGCGCGCCAGCAGGGCCCAGGGGTGGCCGCTGGCGCACACGACGGTCACCGCGGCCTCCTGCAGGAGCCGAGGCGAGAGCGGACCCCGCGGCGGGAGAGCAGAGGAGGAAATTGGGGAAGACCAAGCAGGACAAGAACTCGGAGACGGAGGCGTGCAGATCTGCGGCGAAACCAACACTACGCATGCGAGACGGAGCTACAGTGCCTTGCAGCAGCTTCAGGCCAACGCCCGCAAGATGGGCCAAGAGGCACTGACGCAGGAGTAGCCGGGAGAAGCGATGCACAACTACTGCTGGTCTGATCGGCGGCGAGGAAGGGGAGGAAGTGAGACGGCGAAGGCCTTCTCGGGAGGCTCGGAAGCCCCCCTGCCTTCTGAGAAGTGTTCTGAGCCTCCCCCGGAGACAAACAACAAAAAAGCCCCTCGGAAGGCGGGAGGGCCTCCGAGGAGTGCCGCCGCCTCCTGAGAGGGCCTCCTCCCTCTCGCCTCCCCCCCCCCCGCCCGCCCCCTGCCTCCTCCTCCTCCCTCCTCCTCCTCCTCCTCCTCCTCCTCCTCCTCCTCCTCCTCCTCCTCCTCCTCCTCCTCCTCCTCCTCCTCCTCCTCCTCCTCCCCCCCCGCTCGCTCGCCGATCCGACAGCCCAGCCAGCAGACCCCCCGGGCTCTGCTCGCGCGGAGCGGGGCCCACCTCTGGCTGCCGGGGGGCCAGGGTCGGGCCCTCCTGGCCGCCACCACGCCATATATCCCCGACGGCGGAGAGAGCGGTCGTCTCCGGAGGCCCCTCGAGGCAGCCAGGATTGGTGGGCGTGTTTTCCACCACCACTACCACAAGTGGGAGGGGGAGGGGGTCCTCCTCCTCCTCCTCCTCCTCCTCCTCCTCCTCCTCCTCGTCCTCCTCCTTATCCTCTACCTCCTTCCTCCCTCCAACTTATGGTGGTGGTAGTGGAAAACAGGCCCATGAAGGATGCCCTCGGCCCCCACACACAAACGCTCCGGGTCCCAGGGATGGAAGAAAGCTCGTCTCGAACCTCGAATGCAATGACGCCCTGAGGCATGCTCCGGACCTCTCTCACGGGGCAACTTTTGGCGACAGCCTGGGCGAGGAGATCCAGCCGTGGCGACGACTGCGCCCCCGGAGGCCCATGAGTACGAAAACCACGTGAGCAAACGAGAGGAAGGAAAAACGGCATAAACATGATTTCTCCGAGGGCCGCGTGGACTTCTCGGATCTTCGCTGGGGACCCCTGGCGACGCCACTGGCGCCACCCCTGGCACGCTCTGCAAGCTAGGGAGGGATGCTCAACGCCGACCCAGAAATCCGCGCGTATCTCCGAGACAATATATTATGCCGTTGCTTGTTTTGGACGCCCGATAACTGCGGTCCGGGGTACCTCCGGTTTGGGCCTCCGAGGCGCGGCGCGAATCTCTACTTACCCCTGACTGCCCCGAACCCTGTTGATTCGGGAGGGTTGGACGCCCGAGTTACCCGGGATAACTGCGGTCTGGGGTAACTCCTGTTTGGGCCCCCGAGGCGCGAACCTGTAGCTATCCCTGACCGCCCCCAGCCTTGATGATTCGGGGCTCGCATTGCTCTTCAATCGAGCTCGAAGGATCCCAAGCAATCGATGCACCGATGCTTGCAGTCCGCGTGCCGTGTTCCGCCCCAGGTCCATGTCTGCTCCTGGGGGCGGAGAGCAGCCCCTGAGGGCCGAGATGGGGGCATTTGATTTGCTCTCCCGAGGGCAGCCCCCTGGAGGCCGAACTGAAGAGCAGCCAACGACATTGAATCGAAGCATCAATCCACCAGGGGTATGGGTTGATCGTACCTCGACCCTCGAAAAGGACACGACTGGAGATACGTCCTGGCCCAAATCCCACCAGCCCTTTAGGGCGTAAGGTGGTCTAGGGAGGTTACTCTTCCAACCCCTAGCTTCCCCTTCGGGGAGTGGTTTATCATTGCTCCTTATTGATATACATTCCCTCCCCCAAGCGACCGGGGGCCAACCCGACAACATGCCGACCCGCCCCCCACCATCCCTGTCAAAACATAATACAAGCCGCATTATGCCTCCACATTTGGAGCATGCGCGGCCAAGCCGATGCGCCCCCCCCCACCATCCGTGTCAAAAAGCAATGCAAAGTACACTTTGGGACAACATCTTGAGTCATGTTCGTGAGGCCCGCGAGCACTTTGTATTGCATTTGACAAGGAGGGCGGAGGTGTCAGCATACTCCCTGCTGAGCGCAGGGCGACCATCTCTGACAACAAACAATACAACATGCACCTCGCGGCTAAATCTGGACCATGCGCGGCCATCCCGCGATCACTGTCGAGTGGTTTTGACAAGGACCGCGGGGGTGGTGGCGCGTGGCCTGCTGTGCGCAAGCCCACCAGACACAATGATGAACATCGGTTTTCGACGAGGTTGGCGGGGGCCGACATGTTTCCCGATGTGTGCTGTCACGTGCGCAGGCGCACCTCATGCACTCTGCACGTGCCCCGAACGCGGCGCACCTGGCGCGGCTGGAGTGTGCGGCACACCTGGCGCACTCGGAGCACGTGGCGCATCTGGCGCACCAGGCGTGCCTGGCACGCTCGACCCCATGGGTGCCTGGCGCGCGTGGCGCCCCTGGCACGCGTGGCGCACCTTGCCAAAGCGTCGCGCACCTGGGGTCGGCTTTGGTTCCCAGTAGCTGCCCATCCAAAAACAAACGCTGAACATGTTCAGACCCGGGTGTTACTTGTGTGCAAGGAGGGCGGGTGGGAGTGAGCTAGACGGCTTGCGGGCGGGCGGGTAGCTTGATCACTGTTCCCTATTAGTAAACACCCCTTCCCCCAGGCGACTGGTAGCCAACCCAGAACCATGCGGGCACCCCCCCACCATCCTTTGCAAAAACAGTACAAATCACACTCTGCCTCCAAATTCGGAGCATGCGCAACCAACCCGATGCGGCCTCCCCACACCATCCCTGTCAAAAAACAATACAAAGTACACTTGGCGGCTGCGGCGGCGGCTGCGGCGGCTGCGGCGGCGGCGGCTGCGGCGGCTGCGGCGGCGGCGGCGGCGGTGGCGGCGGGGGCGGGCGGGGGCGGCGGCGGCGGGGCGGCGGCGGCGGCGGTGGCGGTGGCGGCAGCGGCTGCGGCGGCAGCGGCTGCGGCGATTTGGCAGCGGGGGCGGCGGCGGCGGCGGCGGCGGCGGCGGCGGGCGGCGCGGCGGCGGCGGCGGCGGCGGCGGCGGCGGCGCGGCGGCGGCGGCGCAGCGGCGGCGGCAGCGGCGGCAGCGGCGGAGGCGGCGGCGGCGGAGGCGGCGGCGGCGCCGCCGGATTGGCCCCCAATGGCTGCCCATCCAAAGACGACTGCTGAATATGCTGAGGCTCTGGCCAGACTCGGGTGCTACGTATGTGTTGGGAGGGCGGGTGGGAGTGAGCGAGATGGCTTGCGGGCGGGGAGGGAATCTTGACCCTTTACCCTAACGCCTCCCCTGGATCTGAACGGGGCCGGTCACGAGCGGTCAGGGCGTCTAAAACGGCCTCGGCGAGGAAGCCAAAATCATTGATTCTACTATGATTTTGGCCCCATTTTAGCCTCTTGGGAGGGGGCTAATGAAAGCTCCCCTCTTGTTTGATCGATGTCTTCCCCAAGAGGCGCACAGGAGGCCTCCACGAGGCTCCCAAGAGACCCCCAAGAGGCCCCAAGAAACTCGCCGAGGCACCCAAGACGCTCCAAGAGGCCTCCGGGACCGCCAGGAGGCCCCCAAGACGCTCCAAGAGGCCTCCACTGGGGGACCCTGCCTCAGCGTGGTGCCCACTTCTCTGGTCGAGGCAACTCCTCTGGGCATCGTTTCTGGATGGGCTGGTGGGGTTGCGCGGAGTGTCTAGAATTTTGGGGTGGATTCCACCGTGGACGCGAGGAGCCTCCCGAATGCAAGTCAGAAGCGTCCAAACGCCTCGACCCTCGATGGTCGACTTCGATCCTCGAACTTTCGAAACTCGAATATTCGAACCTCGAACATCCGATGCACAAAGCCGAAAACTATCAATCCTCGGACCTCGAAGCTCGAAGGAGTCTTGGCTTGGATCCTCGACCCTCGACAAGGGAACAACACATTGCATACAGGAACATACTCTGTTGGAAGTCCGCGCTTATCTTTTGGATCGGCGATGGACCCCCCTCCCTGGCGCGCGGAGGTCGCAAGGGGTAGCGGCAGAGGCGTCGCCAGGGGGCTCCGGCGCCGATCCGTGTTTGTTCCCCGACTCGATCCCCGAAGCTCGATCCCCGATCCCTGGTCCTCGCTTCTCGAACCCGAATCCTCTGTCTGGGATGCCCAAAAAATACAGCTGCCGCCAATCGCGGACAATCTCTCAGTGTACGTTCTGGCGCGAATGTCCACGCGAATCAAGCCGTGGCGACGAGGGCCTCCCAGAAGGCCCCAAAAAAACGAAAGCGAAGAACAAGTAGTTGTATCGGTAACCCAGAGCCCCGGAAAATAAGCCATACCCCTTTCATTGAGAGCTGACTCTCTGTGGCCAAGACAGAGTTGGTCGGGGGAGAGGGGAGGCGAGGCCGAACTTCATTACCACTGGGAACAGTTAGGAATCGAAGTTGCCAACTTCTTGTGTTGAAATTCAACATCATCACGCACGTGTGGCGGGGCCATTTGGTTCTCACCCAAGTCACGAACGTGTGGCAGGTATATATATATATATATACATAACTTTGCATATACCAGATATTCTCCATTTCAAATTTCCCATGTTACGAACGTGTGGTAAACCTACCGTTCATTGTCTACTACTACTACTACTACTACTACTCCGACTACTACTACTACTACTACTACTACTACTACTACTACTACTACTACTACTACTACTACTACTACTACTACTAATACTACGGCTAGTAGTAGTAGTACTACTAGTATAGTACTAGTACTAGTACTACTACTACTACTACTACTACTACACTACTACTACTACTACTACTACTACTACTTACTACTATACTACTACTACTCTACTACGACTACTACTACTAGTACCACTACTGCTGCTACTGCTAC